ACCTCTCTCTCTCTCTCTCTCTCCCTCCCTCCCTCCCCCCTCCCTCCCTCTCTTGTTTGAGGGAGCTAGCAAGCCTCAGGGCACAAAGCTTTAGACAGGCAACTTGAGAGCTCAAATTTAATATTACTATTTTGTTTTACTGAAAACTTCTCTTTAGAGCAAGTGGCCCTAGTATTTCAATTATGCAGATGACCTAAAATTTTCATTTTAAAATGAATTTTATTAAGTGGCGAAATTACTTTTAAATATACGTAAATAACAGAGGACCGTGGAAATAGCACACACCACGATGTGGCTGTGCTGGCTCATGGCTGAAGTCTGGGAAACAGCGCGCTGTTCAGTTAACTGCTGTTACTTGTCAGGAACCATAGCCCATCAAACCTTTGGAATTATAGGCTGTGGACAAAGTTCTGGCTCGGACTCGGATTGTCCCGGCCCCCGGCTGCCCCCATCCTGTCACTGTGTCAGCGTCATGGAGCAAGGGGAGGGAGCCAGGGAGGCCTGTGGTTTGGAAATTTAAGCTGAGGAGACAGGAGCTGGCTTCTCGTCCAAGGCCTTTTGAGCTGAACCTGAGGGTAACTGGGGACTCTTCCGTGACTCCCTCACAGAAGTCCTCAGCAGGGGAAGGGGTAGATGATGGTGAAAAGAATCTATAAACCCAGTCAGTCTCACTGCCTCCCGAGCCCCACTTCATCCTCGCAGAGTGAGAGAGTCTTCTGCGAGGAGGTCTGCATGAGCTGGGCCCACACTGCTGGTCTCAGTTATCCTCCCAAGAGGATGCTACTGGCAGCATTCGCTCCTGCGAGAAGTGAGGTCAAGATAACTCTCCAAGCAGCCTCCACAAGCACTTAAATTTCTTCTCATCCTTCATCCTAGCCAAGGAGCTCCTCAGAGCAGAGATTACTAAGAAACCCCTAAGTGAACACCGGCTCTAAATCTAAGATCTAAAGGGCTGTTCATTTAAAATGCAATAAAAGCAACTCTCTGTGCTTTCGTTTTTAGAAAAATCTTCCTAGATAAGAGAAAACATTTTGAGGGGTTCCCACTGTCCTTCAAACTGATGCCTTGAGGGCCCTGGGAGTTCAGTGTAAACAGCTGGTAAGTGGCAACCCAGCTCTGTAGCTTCCTGGGGGAGAGGGGGGTCTATAAAAAATACTAAAACATCACTGGGATAAATTAGTGGAAAAGTTAATTGGTCTCATTCCTGCTCTAAAAGACAGTTCTTGATGGGAATTTTTTTTTAATTCGCCCTTTCCTAACACAGACTTAACCCTGTGCAGCGCACACGTTTTGGTTAGAGTCAACAAATATCAGTAGTCACAGCAAAGAGTATGTTTCTTCAAGCTCTCACCCTGCCTGTGCCTGGGAACATTCTCACACAAATGTTTCTTCTCCCTTTAAAAACAGAGTTTAAAAAAAAAAAGATGTTCAAATAGCGATTACATTTTGGTTCAAAATGTATCATAAATCAAGATATTACTTTGTACAGCTCCCCAGCAGAACCCAGCCCAAAAAAAACCCTCTTAACTAAACTCAGCTCCTAGGACAGAGCGGTCCTGTTGAGGAACTTGGAAGAGATGGGCGGGTAGAGGGACACGACTGGTCGGTCAGGTGTGGGAGGGTCCCTGTTGAGCCCTGAGACCGCTCGTGGGTGTCACCACAGTCGTCCATCAGCACGTGTCCTTGTAACCAGCCCTCTTCTCAACTCCCCGACACAGGAGAGGGGAGACCCGGGTTCTGCTCACTGATCCAGGAGGAGCTGTTAACTTTGGGTGAGAGAATAGGCCCCACTGTCTTCTGCCCTGAAGTCAGAAGAAAGGAGTGGGAAGTAGACAATTGATGTCGTTTCTTGCTTTTCCTTGTTGTTCACACTGAAAAATAATTCTTTTCTTTTCTTCCTGAGTGCCCGGTGATAAAGAGTGATTAATTCCGTTGAACCATGTGGGTGGGGTAGAACTAAAATATGCCGGAAATAATTAGAGTTAACCTCACAAAGTCAGCGATCACTATAACTGAAATTTTGAAACTAAACCGTGCATAGTGTGGACCTGTAGTTTATAAGGACTGGGTAATTTGTTAAATACTCTTAATTTTGCACCCTTTAACCTGCCTCCCTGAGAGTTGTCTGATTCAGAAAAATCACAAAAGAGAATTGACAAGAGAATAAGTATGTGGAACAATAAGAGATACTTTTTCTTGGAACACTAATTTTGTTTTGCCAGCGGAAGTGGGCGCTGCCAAGTGGTTGATCTCTTTCTATGCATTTGTGTTTATAGAAAATCCGTTTCTCCTCATCCTCACTAGACAAGTCTTAAGTTGGACTATATACTTTTGAGGGGAACGTGGGCAAATATTTCCATGTAGTGCTCGTGGGAATGGAAGTGAAGAAAACCTCTAATGGGGAAGGGCACCTTAGCCGCCCCTGAGCTAAGCAGTGGCAAGCGCTAAGAAGTGGCAAGAGGAGGAAGGAAGAAATAGGTTAAAGCACAATGAAACATTCTGATACAGTGTCCTGCTCATGTACTCATGTAATGAAGTCAGAGTATTAGTCAGCTCAGGGGGCCACCGCAGACTGAGTGACTTAGACAACAGAAGTGTATTTTCTCACATTTCCAGAGGCTGGGAGTCTAAGATCAAGGTGTTGGCAATGGTGGCTTCTGCAGCGCCTCTCTCCTTGGCTCGCACGGGACTGCCTTCTCCCCGTGTCCTCACATCGCCCTTTCCCTGAGCCTGTGCATCCCTGGGTCTCTCCCTCTTCTTATAAGGTCATCAGTCTTGTTGGGGTAGGACCCTACCCTCATGATCTCATTTAACCTTTGTCACCTCCTCATGGGCCCTATCACCAAATACAGTCACACTGGGAGTTAGGGTTTCAACAAACGCTGGTATGAGTTAACTGTTGTTAGTGTCACTTCCGGGGAGTGGTGCTGGGATTCCAAGTTAGTCCTGTTTCTTCCACCTGAGTATTTTTAATGATATTATTTTAATAAATGATGATGATAGAAGGATATTAATTGAAAGAGATGCCAAGTTTTAGCCTACCCAGTACACTTACAGAGGCCCAACCAGTCCTGAGCGTAGAGAGCCGTGTGCCTCACTCCCACGGCTAAGGAAGCCTACGTTGGACAACATTAGCATCCCAAGTGGTCCCCAATCCATCAGCATTGGGGGGAAGTGATGTCCAAGGAAGATAAGGGTGCCAGCATCCTGCTGACAAGACTGTAGGCTAAGGGGACCTCCTGGGGGCCCCAGCTCTGATGGTAAAGGTCCAGCAGAGTGGCCAAGGGAGCCAGGGGGAAGGGGCATTTGGAGTGTGAAGGTTCCTCACAGCTCTCTCCACAACCTCTCCGCTCACTTCTCGTCCCACATTCTTCCTGTGAGGTCAGCGCCACTGGCAGAAATGACATCTCAAGGTCTCATGCAAGAAATCTGAGGAATAAATGAGACGTTGCTTTCATCCCCTGAATTTATATAAACCTCCTAATTGTCTGCATGTCTGTGGTTGCTAGCCACTAATTATTAGGTGTTTTGCCTCTGTCGGTGTTTTCATAAACTGTTCCTTTCTATGAGACATGATAAGCATCTAATCAAGGCTGTTTGGGAGGCACATGTACCAGAGCTGCAGTGGGAGGGGTGGGCTGAGGGGTGGACAGGATTATGAGGCTGTGCGTGTGGTTTTGAAGCTGTGAGCCAACATAGCAGAAAGAGCACTGAGCCGCGACGCACTGAAACAGTGATCGTAACAACAGCTGCCTTTAACTGTGCACTTGAAATTGGACCAGGCACCACGCTGAGTCCCGTGTCCCCCAGTCCTCACTGGAAAATCTCGGATGGTGCCATTTTGGATGAGAGGCTCAGGGAGAGTCAGCCACCCAACCAGCAAGAGGTGTGTGTCAGTGAGTGAGTTGGCTGCACAGAACAGAACACGAATAACAGTGGCTTAGACGGGGAGGGTATAGCTCATTGGTAGAGTGCAGGCCTAGCCTGCACAAGGTCCTGGGTTTGATTCCCAGTACCTCCATTAAAAAAATAAATAAATAAACCTAATTACCACCACCACCTCCCCTGCAACCAACAAAAATAAATAAGTAAACAGTGACTTAAACAAGTCAGAAGATTTTTTTTCCCCCTCTCATTTGAGAAGTCTGGAAGTAGGTGGCCCAGGGCTGGGATGACCCCTCCACACTGCGAGAAGAGGCCCGTGTCCCCTCTAGCATCTGCCTGCACCATCCTTCTAATGTGGCCGTAATGTCTCTCTGCCAGGCAGGAGAGGCAAAGGTGCAAGGGCAAAAGGCACATACAGCTGACCGTGTCCCCCTTTCATGTAAGGAGCTTTCCAGAGAGTCGCATCTCTGTGTACTTCTGTGTCACGTGGCCAGGTTTTCTGCACGATGCTGTTGAGTGCCCGATACTGTGCTAAGCATTTGCATATATTATCATGTTTATTCTTCATAACAGCCCTGTAAGGAGGGCCGTCTCAACCCCTGGGTCCTAGTTTTATCCCTGCTATTATATAGCTGAGCAGTCCTAGATACTCACTTTCCCTCTCTGGCCCCCAGTTTCCTCGTCTGTTTTAGGAGGGACCAGACTAGATAAGGAGTCCTTAACTTGAGGTCCACAGATCCTCCCTGTGGGGAGCACAGATAACATTCAGGGAGGAAGGTCGTGAATTTGGATGGGGAAAACGGTTACATTCTTATTTTCCCTAACCTTTACTTGCAATTTAGCATTTCCTCCCATTATGACCGTATGCAACAGACCACAGTAATATTAGCAGAACCTGTGACTTTTTCACCAAAAGAAATCACAGATATTTTAGAGCATATTATTCTTGATTCAGATATGTTGAAATATCATTTATGATCATGACTGCTTCAAATTTGTTCATTATTAGATCTACCATATTTAATGTGTTAATGAAGAGGCAGATATTAGATAGATCTTACAGATTTTGTTTTTAGCATTTTAGTCATTGTATTTCAATATAATTTATTTTCTTTAAAGCCCTGTATATTTTGCTTTATGCCTTTAAAAAGATTTTTCTGAAAAGGGGTCCATGGGTTTCAGCAGACTGCCAAAGGAGTCCGTGGGACACATGAGACAAAGCTTCCGGAACATGAGATATCTTTGTCCCTCTGGCTGTGAATGAAACTCTGTCACTAGCTATCATGGTCATCCTGAACAAGTCTCCCTTTGGCTCTCCATGTCCTCATTTTTCTCTCCTGTAAAATGGGAATAAGACTTGCCTTATCTAGTTAAGAGCTGCTAGGAGAACCAGTGTGAACTACATGTGAGCACGCACACAGAAGCAGGGCTCATGTACGTTCAGTTACACACAGTCAGCCTCTGAAGTGCTACGTAAATGATGAGGGTTATAAAATTATTCAACTTTACACCTGTCTCCCAGAGATGCGATGTTTTCCTGTCATCTCTAGATACGTGTCCTGAGACAGCCGTATATTTTCCTAGTGCCTGATTGGGATTGAACTAGTATAAAATTCAAATGAACAGGAAATTGTACCTTAAATGCACTTGGATGGAACCACTTGAGAACACAAGGAGATAAAATGAGATTTCTCCATTGGGTCATATAGCTCCAATTATTGTAGGCTCTGAAAAACTTAAGCCACTATACCATGGTTTGAAAAAAAAAATCATGGATCAACCAGTTGTTCCCTCTGTAACCTCTAAATACAGGATAATTGGACAAATGACAGGAAAGTTGGGAAAGTTGTTTTGTTTCTTTCATTATCTGTACCTTTAAGATATCTGTGAATACTTATTAAATATTTATTCATCCAAGAAATCTGCTGAGATGACCATAATTAATGTTTTAAATAGCCAAGTAAATATCTACAAATATTTTGTTTGTTAAATGATATTTTAGAAAGGACCTCAAATTATGTTTGGGGTGTTACTTAATGCTTCCGCAGTCTTAAAATCAAAGACACAGGATCCTGAGAGTTTGTCAGCTTGGCCAAGAAAGCCAACAAGCCGGTATTTTGATCGGTTTCCCCAAGGGTTTATGGAAACACTCTGGAGTATGTTGGTTGGGAAGGATGTCTGGTTTGCACAGTGGAAGCTGCTTTTTTTTTCATACATTTAGTCATTCATTTGTTCACAAGTGTTCCTTGACTGCCTACTTTTGAAGGCACTGTGCCAGACACTCAAGATGCAACTGACATGGCCTCTGCCCTCGTGACACTTAAAGACTAATGTTGATAACATCAAAAAATTTTAAGAGACAAGCTCTGTTCTCAGTATTTTACATAGTTAATTCATTTATGCTTCCCAATCACTCTAGAAGGAAAATACGGTCACCCCATGTACGTTACAGATAAAGAATTGGAAGTTTATCGAGGTTCAGAAATTTGTCCAAGTTTAAAAGCCTAGGCAGGGGCTGAGCTGGGATTCAGTCTTGGCCAGTCTGATCCCACAATCCATGTTAACTACAGCCCACCGGCTGCTTTTATAAATAAATGTCTTTTTATAAATAAAGGTTTATTGGAACATAAATGTTCTCATTCATGTGCATGGTCCAGCAGTTGCAGCAGAGACCGTGTGGCCCACAGAACCTAAAATATTTACTCCTTGGCCCTTTACAGGAAAAGTTTGCCAACTCCTGCTCTAAAACTGCTGTGCTGGCTCTCTAGCAGAAGACACAAGAGGTAAGTAAAGTAATTGAAAATCATTTTTTAATGAGCCATGATTCATGTAATGAAGCATTAGGAAAGGGAATAACTGGGGTAGTGGGTTGTGGTTAGAGGCTCTCCCTTTACAGTGTGGGCCCCCAGAGAGAGGACCTCCAAGCTGAGATCTGAAGCCTGGGACAGTGCTTCTTGCTGAGGAATTTGTAGATTATTTAGCTCCCCCAATATTCGCTTCTGCTGCTTTGCCCTGAACAGAGAATGACAAAGAAACCAGCCTTCTTTCTGGAATGAAAAGATTTCCTTCCCCTTCGGATAGGAGCCGGAGAGGATTCAGGGAGGGGAATGACAGACGAACATGTTCAGCACTGTGCGTGACACTGAGTTGGCATTCAGCAAACGTCCCCTTCTTCCTTCTGACTCCTGCCCTTGCCACCTGCTGGACCAAAATTGGCCCACTGCCTGAACTTGCAATGGATGGTACAGCACCGACACAATGCTTTATGCTTTAAAATGGGCACTGACATTTCATATAGTAATGTGAGGGTTGGAAGTATGTTTCCTAACTCAGAAAAAATTGTTTGGTCCAACTGATGAGTCCCAGGGGGAAAAAATGTGCTAGCTCAGTCATTCCATTTGTGGTTGGGGCACAAATTCCCTTTCTTGGTCCAAATGACCGAGGGTAAGGGCAGAGTGGGAGTTGGGCATTTGGGTAAGTGGGTGCCGGATGCTTGCCTTGGCAGTCTTCTGGAAGACTCTCTCCAAGACCATCAGTCTCCATTTTATATGGTACCTTCATCCATCCATTACCAGCATTAAAGGCCTCATCTTAACCAGGATCTGGGCCATTTGCTTGACAGTGAAAAACTGCTG